CATTTCAACTCGGCACCTAAGCAACCTCCCGGGGACCCCGGGACCGCGGCATCAACTCCCACGCAGTTCTGGCCACCGCATACGAGAGGGTGAAAGTTTTGGCAGGAAAATCGCTAACTCGGGAACTAGAAAGCTGAAACTTTGTAGATATGTTCCCCGTCCGCATGGAACACAGAGATTTCAAATCCAGCCTCCAGGCATGCGTGGTTCTCATGTACGGCCCCATGAAGGTTCCTGGGGGAAAATTGCTAACTCGAGATCCAGGGAAGCTGGAAAGCTGAAATTTTCAGGTATATGTACAACATAAATTTATCGAATTCAGCCCCTCGTTGTGCGTGGTTCTCAAGTATGGCCCCATGGGAGTTTTTGGCAGGAAAATGGCTAACTCGGGAACCAGAAAAGCTGGGAAGCTGAAATTTTCAGGGAATGTTCCCAGCACACTTAGAACTTAAAGTTACTAAATTCAGCCCCTCTCTGTGCGTGGTTCTCATGTAGTGCTCTGTGAAAGTTTTTGACGGGAGAATGGCTAACTCGGGAACTAGGAAAGCTGGGAAGCTGAAATTTGGATGAAAAGTCCCCTGTTCAAGTACCATGTAATAATTAACTTATCGAGCTTCAAGCATCAGTATTTCACACATTCTAGCTGGTGGGTTTCCGAGCGATCACATTACAACACGAAGCACTGCAAAAACGCATAATCGCAAGGGGTCGCCAGGTGCACATCGCCAACGGTTTGCGTAGTTCCCCGTAGATTTTTTGTTGCTAACGGCACTGTTCCTTCTGATGCTTCTAGCCAAAAGAATTGAAACTGGCCGACAGGACTGTCTGGAAGCATCCCTTTAAAATTTCAGCTTTCTAGCTTTCTTGGTTTCCGAGTTAGTAATTTACCCGAAAAAAATTTTCACGGACCCGTAAGTATTTGCCGTGTATGCCCGGAGGCTAGGTATGAGCTCATTAATACCTACTTGGGTGGGGAACGTTCCTCTAAAATTTCAGTCTTTTAGCTTCTTGGATTCCCGAGTTAGCAATTTACCTGAAAAAAGCTTTCACGGGCCCGTGCGTGGAAACCACACATAGCCGGAGGGTTGGGTTCGAAGTTGTTAAGAC